TTGATTGAAATGTAACAGCAGAAAGGCAATCAAAATCACAAAAAAACTCCCGGTCGATTTTTCTCGCATTTCCGATGGGAAATCGGCAAAAATAAGCAAATTTGTGTTCACAAAGTGAACACCATACAGCCAACTACTTTTTGGCCCAAAATCCAAATCCGGTGGAATTTGGCTGATTGGTGGACTTATGGCATTATCTAATTTTATTCTAAGCGGTTCATTTGTGTCTACCTCCTAGGTAAGCAACTCAAATTACTTTGCATCAATCGAAACCATAAAGGGTTCCGAACAAATTTTTAATACACCCAGTCACATTCTATGTGACGAATTTTTTTGTGATTTTTTCTCGCTCACATTTTTTTTTTTGGTATGCACACTCTCCCTCTTCACGTTAAATTTTCCATTTTCATTTATGCATAATATTGCTATGGTCAAAACTGCGGTTTCACTACATTAATACACTCAACGTATATTTCAACGCGTTCAATCGTTCATACAAATGTGTGCATATTTCTTCCCAAAAAAAAAAAAAAAAAAAACCGATTGCTTTTTTTGTGTTCATATTTAATTTTTATTATTATTTTACAAATTCACAATTGGCCGGCACACACACTCGAATCAAATAAAACCACAAGCCTTCAATTACAATAATTAAATCTGGAATAAAATGAACGAACAAAACATAATAATATTGAGTAGAGAGGAAAAAATGAAGTGGCGCCAAAAGCGAAAGAATCCTGTTCACAATTGGCTCCCCGTTAAACGAGTGCCATTCCAACACATAAAATTCACAAAAATGCAATCAAAAATATATCAAACGATTGGTGTCCGGTGAAACAATGGAACAGTCATAAACAGAAGCTTATCATTTAGGCTCAAATACGTAATTAAGAATTCGTCATTTTGTAAAAATAAAGCAGTTTATTTATTGGCACATTTTTTTTCTCTCGCGATTTTTCAGGACAAAATCTTTTGTATTTTTTTGTTTAGTCTAAAATTTATATAGTATATGACAGCGCTCTCGGATTGACTCTATTCAATCGATTAATGGAAAATGATTTAAGAATTGATTTTTGATTTTAATTAAGCACATTTTGGTATTAAATAGCGTTCGAATTTTGAATAGTGTGTTTATTTGTGGTATATGAATATATGTGTACAACGTATGTAAATATGTAGATTATGGTAATCAGCGCTTTTTAACCCCTTTGTGTGGCGTTTTTATTCTGCCCATTTTTGTGCCGATGTTCAGCTTCCATCACCATTTTATTTTATGTTTCATTTGGTTGTTAACTGTCGTCGTCGCTATCGTCGCACATTAAAAAAAAATAACAACAAGCAGTTACAAATATAAAAAAATCATCGCTGCACATTTAACACTGATTTTTTAGTATACACTTTTATCTGTAATTATGTGCCGTTTTTCTTCTTGTTAATGTCGAGTCGGTTGTTTTCTCTCTCTCTGCCTCCCTCTCTATTTCTCCCCTGTTTAAATAAAGCATGATAATTAGACTGAAACATGAAAATGGCGTTCCATTTTTCATGTTGTTACAGTAATACACCACTAATAAATTTGCTCACAGCTCTCAAACCCTCCACACTATAGCTATGTTTGCTCACGTCTCTCTCTCTCCCTCTCTCCCTCTCTCTCCCTCTCGGTCTCTCTTTACCATTTAATATGCTAGAAAATTGGCCACAGCTACGCACGGATAATATTAATAAGAAGGGGGAAGGAGTAAAAACCTGGCACGTTATTTATACTAGTGCATAATAAATAAAATCAACAAACCAAAGCTCACTAATAATCGGAAACATTTGAGCTGTATGTGGTATATGGTACCATCACTGTTTACAGCGCATTACATGAAGCCCAATATGAAAAAGCATACAGTTAAATACTGACATGTATTCATTTATGCGTTTGCTTGAACAATAAAAAATACGCATTAAATTTAATAAAAGAATTCATAAAATTGGAAAATAATTAGTTGTCGATCATTAATTAAATGTTCAAGTCATTAAGATGTAGTTTTGTGCACATTTTCATTTCGATTAAATGCATCACAATTGCGCAATTTTGTTGTTGCTTCGTTCGTTGTTTTTTTCTTCTTGTTGAGCTTCCGATGGATGATGGTGGTGCTTGAGTTTTGATTTAATATGGCACATATCGAACCACGAGATAATCATCGAAATCAAGTGAATTGCTGTGCAAACTCAACATCAGCAATCGACTAAAGTGGTCACGAATGCAAAAGTCAATCAAAAAGAAACGAACCGAACCGAAATGAGAGCAATGGAATACACACGACACACGACACTCACACATACACACAAAATTACGCGCACAACAAAAGCAAAAATATCGAACAAATTGCGATTATTTACCGTCCGATGGAAGTGCAATGAAGTACATCCGAGCTCTCTTTCATATATATATATCACACACATATTACATACCAACTGTCCACATGCAATTTGTTGGGCAGCCCATTCCACTTCCATCAATTGCAAAAGAGTAAGAGAAGTATGCTTGACGGGGGGCGCGCCCGCGTACACACTCACACGGGGAGTAAAATTGTATTTAACGCGCTCAATAGTTTGAATGGCGTTTATGTCACACGATCACCCTTCATCCATAAATATTGAAACGTCACATTATATATTCGAAACGGATTAGTAATAATGAAATGAGCTTTCATGTGAAACAACAATTTGTACTTATCGACCGGATCAAAGGAGAAGAAAAACAACAACAAAAGCATCAAATGCATCTTTTCGAGTTTCTACCCGGTTCACTCTTTCTCTTTGGCTGAACCAATGTTCACTGCTGTTGAAAGCACAATTCACACGATCACACAATTTTCAATCCAAATAGAGAGAAAGAGAATAATGTGGCTATCATTGAAAAGCGGCAAGTATGTGATGCGACTAAGTCTATTAAAACAGGTGCCAGACCAAATCAACGCATTTTAATGTTTCCCACGTTCGTTATACTTATTTACGTGACAATAATTTTGAAATCGAAAATGCTCAATAGCATTTTCAAACTGAATGGACAGATAGATAGGCAGGCACATTAATGCACAGCGAAATAGAGAGAGAGAGAGAGAGAGAGAGAGAGATATGGATGAAGCGAATCTTTTCATTACAATAGCAGTGACGACAAATACCAACAACAATTCATCAAATTGAATTGTATTCTGAACCTGAAAATACTTGTGAACAATTGACAGTTGGGCGCACATCCCAGAATTAGAGCGATTTGTTGAACACACCACGAACAGCAGTTACAAAACAAACGCCCCCAAAAGTATTACCCATCGAAAATCGTATCTATACGTATAAACATTGCAAAACGTACAATAATCTGCAATTTGTGTATCCTTTGAATGCATTTTCATGGATCGCATTTTCTATATATGCAATATTTAATGCTAAAAGATTTTCCATACACTGAAAAATGTTCCATGACACAGCGGGCCGCTGTCAGCGGCGAATCTATGACAAATAATTGCGATTGAAATTAAAATAAAATTGATGTCCGTTTGATTATTGTCCTAAACATGGTCCAAATATCAAAGAAAATCATTCGAAATATTATCCGGTGGTAGTGAATTAATTGATATTACATGAAAATGGCGATATAATTTTTGAACGAAAATATACATCATTTCCGTAAAACTGAATTGAGCAAATGCTGAAATTGACAGAGATAAAGTCTAATTCATGGATGTAGAGTATCTTTCAATTGAATATGTATATAGATATTGAATCTCTAAATTAATCGATACGATTTCCTTTTTTTTAACGTCCACTTAGCCGTAGAAAGAAGTTGCGTCTGTTCCTTGACTCTCATGGATTTCAAATAATTTCCTCAGAATGGTTTTTTGCTGCATGTGAAATACTAGCCTAGCATGGATTGGCATGCAAAACACATGCATGATTGCATAGGAAAGAATCCATATTCACAGCGCTATTCATGATGACACAATTAATTTTCTTTGTCTTCGCCAGCTGTGATATTTATATCATTATTTTTTATGCAAACCGATGAACGAAACACGAGACAAACTCTTTTATATATAATATATGCTGAATAAAAAATATCTTATTGGGAAAAAAGAGAAATTGTAACGGTGCACCCACATACCAACAAATAAACTTTTTTTACAAAAAAAAAATATGTTACGCTCATTATTATCTTCGTTTCCTTTTATTCAATATCATTTTTCTATATAGTTTTCATTTTCTCAGAGTCGCACATATGTGATATACTCATTGAATCTTGCTATATGACCCAATGTGTGTGCTAGTGATCTTACCGTGTGTTCGTTATTTAATTTTTTTTCAATTTTCAGCTGTAAATTCGGTTGCTTTTCCACGCATTATCGTCGATGTTATGCAAACTTTTAAAGATCTTTGATAGAGAGATAGAAATCTCTTTGGTAAATTAATTTGGTCATCATTGCAATTGTATTCTTTCAGCCATCGAAATCCCATTCATATAGGTTCGGCTGTCATCGGTAGACATAAAGTCTAATTCATATCCAACAGAGTTGGTTTGAAGGCACAAAAAACTGATTTAAGGCTCTTTTTTTAAAATGCTAAACACAATAATTCCAACAGACACGGTTTGTGTTCATTCTCTTACTCTCTTCGGTTCTCTATTCTCAGTGCTGGAAAAATGGTTCATTTTTCTATAGTCGTTCAACTATAATTCGTTCGCCGTAACTGTTGTCGTCGCCGTTATCGTTGCCGCAACCGCTGTTACCGATGACGTTTGACAAACGGTGCATGCGCCCTCAACGTATTCGACCGTCTAGTTTATCAGAAGCTTTTCATTGTTATTCTCAGCTAAAATGCGGCGTACGCGTATCGTGCATGCACCAAGTATGCAAAGCATCACAAGGATACATTGAACAGACGTGGTTGGAAAACATTTTCGATTTAGTTCACTGTGAAGTTTACCGGTCGACAGACGCGTTTCTGATCTCTCGCCAAATCAAACATAGATTCACAATAAAATTAAACAATTTTTACGTAGTGTCGACACAAAAATCACATTTGATTTTCTCACTGTGAAGCTTTGTAACGAATGATAGAGTGTTATCAACAATTTTGTCTAATACAAAGATTTTTCGGTGCAATATTGTCGCTTTTTTTATTTGATTTAATTTTCCGTTGGATTTTTCGATCTGATTTTATTCTGGTTTCACAAAATTGATGTTTGCAATCTGAACGGTGTGTTCACAATAAACGGCGGCACACATCAAACCAACGATAACAACAACAAGATACCAATATCAATCCCGATCGTTATATTTCCAATGAATAATAAATGCAGTAATCGTTACATTGACAACGATATATTGTCCATCGGTGCATGTAATATATATTTTTTTCCACATACGACATATTTGTTATAAAATAAAATGCTGAAAGAAAACAGCACAAAATTTAGTCTTTGCTTTCGTGCTAAAACTCATTTATGCAACTAGATATAAAAAAAGAACTCCGTACAATTCCAAGTGACGAAGAAATAAAAAAAAGGAGAGAACTTAAGAAAGAAAAATGAACACAAACTAAACACAATAAACACTGTGCCAGTGACTAGATATTTCACAGGAAGGAATGTTAGCAAAAACAAATATACACATATATGTACGTATAACAAGTAAAAAGTGACCGTGTGACAAATGTTTTTAGAGAATATAAAAAATATCTTCATCGTCTTTATATTTCTCGTACTATTTTTATGTTGTTCACAAGCAAAGTGTTAAGATTTTCGCGTTTATAACGGGTTTTAAAAATAGCTGCTTCACTCACGAACGGCAAAAGATAACACAGTAAAAAAATACATGTCGAATATAAACAAATTGTTGTAGCGTATATATTCGGTTGATTGTACAGCAACGGTGATATATTTTTTTGTGTCCGCGTTTGATAAAAAAAAGAGAAAATAAACGTAAAAAAAAACAGCAAACCGAAAAGAGAAAGTTCTTTATATCAAAATTTCCCAGTGATTTTTCATACTAGATAAACACAGAAGTTTGCGGTGAAAAGCAGCGAGAGTACAAGAAGAAGAAGAAAGCAAAAAATCGTTCTTTACGTACACACAATAAAGTAAACCAATTATTTTTTTGCTCTCTCTCACTCTCTCTCCGTCGTTCGAAAGAGTGGAAGAATTGAACTGTGGGAAAAATAGATAAAATCGTTTTGTGGACATCATCTTCCTCAACTACACGCAAATATTCATTGGATGATTTTTCCGGTTTTTTTTTATTCGTCGTACATTCAGTTTGATTATGTAAGTAAAACATCCTTTGTAAATCAACACAATTCAAGTTCTCTATCTCACTCCCGTAATCTGTTTCACTTGAAGAAAAAAAAGCACTTCAATTCGGTCAATTTAAACTCAAGCGCATTTGAAATTTTACAAACAAAAAAACACACACATTTCCTCACTTCTTTTGCGTGGTGAACTGAAATGGTGATATTTTTGTGTTTGCTTTTTGGCGTCGTGTTTGCCAAATAAATGCATTGTGGGCACTTCACTCTGAGTAATATTCTATTTGGGAGGATCAAAATGACGCCCTTACCTAGATCTACCTTAACATATTGCACGACGTGTATGTGTGTGTGAAGCTAATCGGAAGAAGGCATAGTCGTTTCGTCACTTGAAATGATTAAAATAAATATTGACTGAAATTATTGTTGATATTTTGTGTTTGTTTGAGCTTCAATCAATGAACTTCTATTTGTTGAAGTTCAGTAGCTGCAAATTGAAAATGGGCTACCTTATACCCATTTGCGCTTAGTTTGGAATTATCATTTCCAAACGCAAGATATCACTGTCTGCGTAAGTGTGTGTTGATTTTGAGGTAGATTTTTGCAATTCAACATTCACATACAACGCTTGCATGTTTTAGGCATTCGAAAATAGAATCGAAAAACCAAAGTGAAAGCTGGTGCATATATATATTCGTTCGAATTTCGCGTAATGCATTCTTCGGGCTAATACGGTGAATGAGCCCATGAATATTTTGGGTTGCTTTTGAATTACAGTATAGTTTTATCAGCGTTCAATTCAATCGAACGCATGTCCATGAAAGATTTATTGAACATTTTATCGGTAATATTGTGGTGAATTTGTGTGCTTATGCATTCGGAAGCGGGAAAATCTATTGTTTTTGTCAGTTGCTCTCCCTCTCTATCTCTGTGTGTGTTAAGATTGCTATTTTCTGGTGGATGGAGATGGGTATGTGTGATTATGTGTTTCCCTCGTTCATGCCCTCGTTGGATATGGTGCTTGGTATGATTGATCGTTTTCAAGTGACACGTGTCTGGTCGTTTCTCCAAATTGCAATATTCGAAATATTTTCCCATCTTGTTGAACACAATCATTTGCTCCAAGGATTATATCAATTTCAACATAATTTTATCGCGTTAACAATGGTGAACTTTAAGCTTTGCTGCTAAGGCAGCACCATTTTGAGAGTGAAATTCATTCAAACGAACCATTTCCGGAACATTTTGCAACGCATATCACCTTCAAACGGAATGTAAATAAATTATTCATATTATAATAATGCATTTTGTTCTTTGATCGAAGCGATAACATTTAATTGCATCCCCATCCTGAATGATAGACATACAACTAAAACATAGTCTCTTTATCTGTGGTTGAGTGCTGTGCTTATTAATTTTTATCATTTGTTTATGTTTTCATCATTTCTGCAATATCATATTTTTGCTACTAATTTTTATTTCGATTTAGTGAAGCATTGATCTGGCGAAGCAAAAAAAAAAATAAACATTGTGCCGATACCACATCAGACATGTATTCTATTGCGTGTCGTATACATTGAATAAAATCAAATAAACACAGAGCTCAAAACAAAAACAAAAATATACATGGAATGTACACATGCACACGTTTCGTTCACACTCTAATGTTATACAATGTTTCGCAGTAAATTATGCAAAATGATACACATTTGTCGAAAATCCGGACCACATTTTTTGCTCTCAACATTATATTTGCTTCCGTTTCAACGCAGCTTATTAGCGTAGATTTCCAAGTGAACCGTGTTATTAGCCACCTTTGCCTCCATTTTCCCATTTTCCCATTGCCATTTATGATACCGATTGCGGTAGGTGATAAATGGTGCCCTTAATCTAAAAAAAGTATGTAGAAATGATTTATCTCGTATGAGCAAATGATTACGGTAGTATTGATGTAGTTGAAACCGACTGATAAAAAGGTAAAACAAAAAAAGTGTCGCTATTGAAAGTTATATTCAGTATAAATTCAGATCAAATTATCTATCTATAGTTTATGATATGATATGATTATAAAAATGATGTTGATTATGGAGGCGCACTGTCATTGCTTTAGATTTGTGGCATTTATGTTTCATGCACGCATTCAATTCAACCTCGGCATAAACACAGTAGCCTCTCTTTCATCGGGGCATACAATTGACTACACAACGGTAAATGTCATTCGATGCAAATACAACTTAACAACACATAATATCAACTGAATAAATCATTTTTATTTCTCGTTGGCTAAATTTGCGCGTTGATTTTGTGTTTGCGTGTGTAACTTTTTTTTTCGAGTCAGTTTTTAATAGTTTCGCGCTAAAAGTCAAGTATTTCAGTGCGGTATATTAGATGAAAACTGAGTGAAAACGGAATGAATGCAATGAATTAATTGAAAAACAAAAGTGAGAAACCGAAAACGTTGACTTGATGAGAGGAAAAATGTACGGGCAATGAACGATTATTATTTTATTTTTCTCTGTCAGTTAGTTTTTATATATAATCGTGATTGTATATCGTGTAACATAAGAGACTCGACAATCGACATGAGTGCCTCAGCATTATCCATTGGTACGCATTAATGTGAAAATTTCGGCTAAAAGGAGACGGGAACAGTGTGCCAATGTGAGCCCATATATACTAGTGTGAGAGAAAGCGTAATGAATTAGATACGAATGACGAGGAATGGCAAAGGTGAATACAATGAAACAAAAATATAAAAACGGCAACATAAAAAAAAAATCAAACCTGAAAAGAGCAGTAAATGTGAAAGGGCATATAACAGAAAGAAAGCAAACAAAAGCATAAACGAATATAACATACAGCGCCAATAATATAGATTGTCAAGAACAATGTGAAATAAAATTTATGCATGTGGAAAAATAAATCCAATTTTCTACATATGACATGCAATACGAATAATGAATAAAAACGTAAACATACTTGAAATTTGAAGCACCACACATATCATATATATATATATAAATGTGTATGTGTGTCTGCCATTTCCTCGCGTTTCCCGGCCACATTATGCGAATTAAATCGAAAAAGATGTTCTCTTCATGAATTTCAGGCTCAAGCACACACACACACACACCATAACAGGCATGTACTTGAGGGGTGTTTTGCTGTTTTTGTGCATGGGAAATGGGTTTGAATCAGTTTTGTGATTGTTTGAATGAATGTAATAAAATTGATGTTCGAAAATCACAAAAGATAGATTGAGTGTGTTGAAGTGTAGAACCGGGGGTGGTAGAGCAACCAGTACGTAAATGAAAAACGACTAATAAAAAAATAAACAAGAAAATAAGACAACAATATTAGCGTCAAGTAACGTCAATCATTCGGCACTGTGGCGGCATTTGCAAACTTCAACAACAGCACAAAAAAACAACAACACCGTAATGAACGATCAATATAAAACCACACACACACAGAGCAGAAGAATGCACAACAAGCAGCCAAACGAACAAAAAAAAATATATATTGTACAATAATAGTTATAATGGGAAAAAAAGAACGAAGCGAAACACAGGAAGATATTGTAGAAGGTTAGGTATGTCATGTCAAATAACGGCACCGATACATAACATTACATTTAATCTCTTGAATCTAAATTCAGGTAATTTATTAAACTTTTTCCACTTAAAGTTTATCGTTTGTCGCCGTCTACTTTGCGTTTTTAGGATACATTCACAAAACCGCGCAGAAGACGGAAAAAAGATATGATAACAGCACGCTCGTAACAAAACGCATATAACATACTTTCTGGCGGAAAAAGGGGTGTGTATGTATGTGTGTCACATAGAATGCCACATCACATTCATATCTATTTGATTATCATTTAGTCAATTTGCTAATAATTTTTCGGTTTTTTCCCTATTCTGCAATTTGCGCATGCCATGAAATATTTTTCAATCCAATAATTACGTATTGTTGTTGGCACCTTTTTGCATGCTATCGAAAACCAATCAATTGTTTTTCAGAGAATGTCCAAGTGGAACATTGTTGCACTGTTAAATTGAGACAGAAAAAAAGTCCGATTGATATCATGTGAATCATTCAGCGTTTGGCGGCAACAACAATAATAGACATCAATTAGAAAACATAGTTAGTTGAAAGTTAAATCCTCGAAGCCATTCAATAACATTCATGGTTCAAACTGTTTTTTTTAATGTTTGATTGCATTATATGGCTTCATTGTTGATACATCTGTGGTTTTTGCTGACAGATTTCAAATATACTCATGTACTATAAAATTTAGAAATTGCAAAATTATTTTTTTTAATTATCCGTAATTTGCCGTAAAATGGATGTTCTTTTTAGAACAAAATTGAATCACACTTTAAATTGATATCCATGGCAGTATACATGACGAAAAAATTGGATTTAGATTTTCGATAATTACGCCTGCATATTAAACTTGGAATCTTTTTTTAAACTGAAATCACATAAATACACATTCTTCATAGAATGTTAGTCATGGTGGTTCCACCTTGGAACTCCAAAACATCAATTCCGGTAACAAAACATTGAACAAATCGATCTAGATTGAATCTATGCAAATTGTTATTTAATTCTAGGCAAATGTATGAAGTTTTTTTGAAACATTTTTCACGGCATTTTCTCAATTTCTTCATTACTCGATTGATTTTATTAAAACTTAATTGAAATAACTATGAAGTGCCAAGCAAAAAAAGTGCTATCATAGATTTTTAATAGACTGGTGCCTCTTATGCAAAATAAATGTCCCAGTGAACTGTTTCGGGACAAATTGAATGGCTATGACCCTTCCGACCAACTAAATTTAGTCTATGTTTTTCGCTTTCTTAGTATTTTCCAAAAGTAGAACATTTTGATTTGTGTATATCCATGCTTACGAGAGCCGTTCGATAATTTATCGTTCATTGAACGGTTTATTACATATTCTCCGTATTTTTTTTTCTGTTTGTGTGTTTGCGCACTTGAATAATTATGTTGTAA